GAAAAAGATAAAGGACAGTTGGGGAAAGGGTTGAGAGGCAATGGAATTACTTGGTACTCCTTTGGAGAAGTCAAAAGGAAATGAGTCTAAAGGCAAGGATCTCATCATGCCCTTTGACTCTTAAAACAAAAGTGAATAAGGATCCCAATCTTGCTCTATGAAGGAAAATAGGGAGACCTGGGTTCTGCGGGTGTCCTCAGATGTTCCTTTCTTTGGCAACACACAGGCAGAGCCCTGGAAATGTCAGGTCAGATGTTGAGGTCAGGTCAGCCCTGTGTGTTGAGGTCAGTTCAGGGCTGGCTATGTGGAAGCCACAGTCACAGAGCTCTTAGAGGTCTATGAACACATTCCTAGAATCAATTCCTGCTTCTATGGCAATCTGTGAGACTTTGGGCAAGATATTCAACCTCTGTGCTTCTCATTTTTTGAACTGAGAAGTGGGATAATATTGGATTGTCAGAAAAATCACGATGCACTTTTGCATAGAAAATAAAACACATCATGACTTTTCTGACCAATAATATAGTACCTGCATCACATATTTGTGAGGGATGGGGCACACAGGCTATGGTAAGGGCCTACATGCTTGTTCTTAGTATTATCAGTGGAAGAAGACAGATGTTGACTGGTACATCGAAGCCAAGATGCGAGATGGGATGCACAGTAGCTAGGTATGCAGTTAAGGGTATCACCACGATGTCAAGAGGAAGGCGTTACAGCACAGATACCGAATCATAGTCATTCATACATTTCTCCAACACTTCTCTCCTTCCACTGTTCTAGGCTATTGGGATGCAGAATGAACAGAACAAACAAGTGCATAAATAATGTGAAGTGCTATGGGAAAAAATGAAGATAAGGTAACCTGGGAGTGTGAAAATCGGAATGTGGGATGAGACAATGGCAGTAGAGCCCAGAGGAAGTGGGGAAGTGGGTCAGGAGGATGCTTGGGAGAAGTCCTCCAAACATGGGGAGCAGCAGGTAGAGCAGTGAGGAAGCCTGGTCTGTTAAACAAACACCAAGGAGGCGTGGGTGACTGGCCTAGTGAGGGAGTGCTGCATGGTGTGATTATGGCCAACTGAGGGTGTGCAGTGCTATTGGGGAGGTGATGAATCTAGTGTGAGTGCCTTTATGGGGCACAGGTACTCAAGGGAAGAAGACATTTTTTTCTGATATTTAAGGAGAGTGTCTGGAACACAAATTCCTTAAAGAAGATTAAAGCTCACCCTGTCCCTTTTGTAACTTTCCGCAGCTCTAAGACTAAACCAGTCACCTAAGGAGAAGCTATAGACAGAGGCTGACTCATTCCTGATGGGGTCTAGTTTCTGTCTTTGAGGGAATCTTATCCTCATTTGTTGACGTTCAGACACAGGTGCGTGTCACTGTCTTCAACCACATACAGGAAATCAGGAATGGTTGAAGGTTTCCCTACTCATGCCAATGATTTTCAAATTACTGAAAAATCTTAACCATGCCTAGAAAAATGTCAAAAATCAAGAATATCCTGGAGACTACAAAGGACTCTTAACTCAACACAGATGAAATCATGTGAGCAATAAAGGGGGGGATTTCTGAGAAGCGGGTGCTTTTTATGTTATTTTTTGGTGTGTGAGCTTTATAGGGAGTACACTCCTTTGAGGTTATGGTGAGGAAGAAGGGAGTGGGAGAAGGGCACAGTTACAAGGGATGCTGTTAGTAGGGTGGGTTGGAAAACCTAACTGGCGTGTTTGGCTCAGGAGCCTTCCCTGGATGGCTCCACGGACAGGTCTGGTTTTAAAAAGGGCCAGCGAGCCACGGATTTGCATGTTATTTGCGTTCCAGGCTTCCATTCCAGGTATGTGGAATGAAATGAATGAATGAGCAGTATTCAGACTCCCGGTGAAAGGGAGGACTCAGGAATCCAGACCACACTGAGGATCCAATCACTGGTCCAGTCTGGATCAGGAGACACAGACACAGACAGAACAAACAGCCAAAGAGACAGAGACAGTCTTAGAGAGACAAACACTATCGAGTCCTTTTACTAGGGTGTTTCCAGTCAAAGCAAGAAAGCAAAATCCACAGAATTTATTTTAAATAAATCAACTTTTAAAAACTAGGGAAAGTCACACAGACAGGGAAAGGTAACACCAACCCTGACCATCCATCCTCTTCTCATTCAGATTCAAACTGGACCATGTATCTATGAGTCTGCCTTCTTGATGAGATTATTGCTTGGTGTCTGCCTGGCCTCCCAGATTAGCCTATACAATCCTTGAAGACAGGTGACTGTTGTTTCCTTGGGCAAACCTTTGAGGCCCCAAAGCCAGTGCTTAAATACATCTTACTAAACCCCCTAGCATAAGGGGATCCTCAGTATCTCATAAGGTTCTACTTTCCCCCATTCTTGCACCCAGAACATAAACGCTGGTTAACAGACAAGATGTAGGCAGCATGTAGAGCAGTCTGGTTAAGGGACATGGCAGAGAGAAAGGCACCCAGTTTAATCCTAAAACAGATGTACGTGTCACTGGAAATAAAGAACATGGAAAAAAAGTCTGTGGTTAGCCCCTGGCATAGTGACTGAGACCTCCAAAGGGCATACTGAGCTATCAGAAGGTGCTCTGTTAAAGCGAAGGGGGCGCCAGGTTCCAACCATAAAGGAGGGGCAGCCTTGCAACAGACTGCCATGAGCAGTGCTTCTTCCCCTACCCCTGTAATGCTGCCTTTCTAAATATTTTGAAATAATTACCCATACTCCTCTCCGGCTGACCAGAGAAGCAACTTACACTTTTGGTTTGGAAATTTTAAAAAGTACCTGTCCTCAGTGACAATCTAACTCACACCATCCCTGATGCACAAGACAGCTTACAATGCAAGTACCACCTGATTTGCATTCCTTTTCCGATTATAAGGGCTGCAGAGGTCCAAATAGGAGCTTTTAATATCATATGGTCAGGGCACTTGTGTATGAATGGAATACAAGAGTAAACTGAATGAGGGGTGCCCAGGAGACTGAAGACTTGAGGCTTTACCACATGCTTCCTCTTCCCCACAGCAGTTGATGGCTGCTCCTCAGGATGGAAAAGTCAGCAGCTGTGACATCCCATTAGGACAGACTGACCTGGGACCTAACTCTTAAGACCAAACTAATTCTAACACAGACCTTAAACTTTGACTCTCTTTCTTGCCTGACTTCTACTCCAAGCAACATTATGACCCCCATAACTTTTCCAGACTTGTCAAGACCCTGGACACCTGGGTACAACCACTCATGAATTCTCTATTCTATTCCCTTACAGGCCAGAGAGAGCCTGTGGTAATATTTTCTCAAGGCTTATCTTCCAGGTATGAGTCACCTAGCTTTTCTCTCTCCCCCATAGGAGAGTCATGTGTAACTTCTCCCTCATTTCAGTGGGTGACCAGCATGACTTTTTACCCCACTATGTCCCTCTACATCTCCAAAGCTGCAAATGGAAGTCAGACGCTGTTAATGGACAGAAGTTACAATTCAGCACAGTAGAAAAAACACTCCAGACTAAAAGGAAGCTAAGTGTTAGGGCCAAGTCTTACTTGTGCCTTCCAAAACTTGATAAATTTGAAGCTTTGGACAAATTGCTCCTGGGGAGGGAAATATAGCAACTTTCCTAAATGTGCAGTATGTAATGTTTGAGTCAAAAACTAGGTCCTGACTGCCTTACTTTTCTTTCTTGAGTATTATGAAGCTACAGGATGAAAGTATCACATTCTGCCTCACATTGGCACATCCAGCTAGAGCAAGGGAGATGACAAAGTGCAAGTGTTATATGAGAGCTGGCACAGGAAAAAGACCAGAAGCAAAGCAAACCAACCCTGTCTCTACCCACTAGTCTTTTACAGGCCATGTAAATCCAGGTGGTGAGGGACTATGGAGTGGGTTGCTAGCAGTGGTTTTTCAGGTTACTTGCTTCTACCCCAGGACCACAAAAATTTAGAGCTAACACTGCTAAGGGGCAGTGGGTAGAAGATTAGCAAGACCACTGTTGGCTACTGAGAGAAGTTTATACCAAGACAAGGATGAAGCACCTATACACAATTTACACAAAGTCTCTAGGCTATTCTAGGAAATAGGACTCCAAGGAGCAACAGGGATCCCAGGCGACAAACTGGACTGAAGTGGCAGGAATGGTCTGATTTTCTCTGTACAGGGTGGAATGATTGCAGGGCTATTATTTCTGTTGAAGACTTTGTACCTGGCATCTACAGCTGTTCATCCCTTAGTGTTCTCTTTTAGTGGAGGTAGGTCACATAACACTTAGCACAGGGCAGTGGGGAGACAGAAAAAAAAGTAAGCAACAGGCTTATTTTGTTTAAAGCAAGTCAAAGAAGATATTGGTAACATGCCTTTGGCCATGGGATATAGGAATTTTTACCCTACTCATCAACATCCATCCTTACATGGAGAAACTTCAGGTGCTGGTTTTGTTCCCATTAGCTAGTTCTCTGGAAAGACAGAATGGCCCACTACAATATACATTTATATTTGGTTCCCATGGGGCCACCCAGGGGGGTACAAACTACATCCAAGCCTGGCCACTTCTCCCTGCAGGTTGCTCCTAAGATCACTAATTCTTACCTTGTACAAAACTGCACTGTTCATAAAGGGGAACCAAGTTCAGATAGGCTCAACAGTTTCTTATATATTTTTCAAAGTGCTTTTGTTGCATGTTTCTTTTTCTGCTATACATGGCAAAAAATATGTTGCTTGCTCTGCCCAAAGTCTGGGACAAAGGTAAGATAGATGTCATCTAAAGGGACAAAGAATAAATAGAGGGAAGCATCTTGCTCTGAGTTTTGCAGACAATAGTGAAAGAGCCTGAAAAAATACAGGTCTTTGACGCAAAGCCCAAATCTATAATATAAATGCCATGTTTAAAGTTGTCACTTAAATACATTAAGTACCAAAAATCAATGTTCAGGAGTTTTCCAATGAGCCTGAACCTAACTGCCTTCTAAAAGACAATGTGAAAGGTGCCAGCAACTCAAACATAGAAAGCTATTTATTTCCTACAGAACACACACACACACACACACGAGCACACACACACGCACAAAGCACACACACACAAATTAAAAAGGTGGAAGAAAGAAAAAAAAAGGTGGTCTTCCCTCCAAAAGGCAGGCAGTTACGGAAAAGGACATCTACTTGCTGGAGTGAAAACAGTAACATTCAGTTAACAATGGAATATTTAAAAAAAATAGTTTTCTTTTCAAATTGTAACCTGTGGTAAAACATAGAAAAATGTACTAAACAAGCTTGGTATAAAACAGAGTAAAATTGTCAAATAAGCCCAGGGAGAAAGCACAATGCTGAAAAAGATGGGGTACAAGAGGAGAAAAGATTTCATACAAAACTACCTATTACGATACAGAAAAAAGTATAAAATGTTCCTATTTTGGAACTTAAGTACAAAATGACACTGACGTTGGATCATTTCACTATCTAGCCTGAGGAGCTCTCAGACGGCGGGGATAGATGATTTTTAAATCTCAAGTTGATCAGTCCAATTTCATCCATTTTCCAACTCAAAGTCTCACTTCCCTTCACCTCCCTCTGTAATCTATACCCCGAAATCAAAGTTCATCCATGTCTCAAAATACTCTGTTAGGAAATCCACAGACACCCTACATGTAGGGGCTGGAATCTGTGCATGTTGGAGCTAAATTTGGAAAATGGTAATAAATCTACCGGCTAAAATGGTGAACACATTCAGCCTTTTTCAAAATAAGCGTATCACTGTGAAATATATATATATATATATATATACTTTATATATATATATAAAATTCTTTGTGGTTAGAAACATATTTAAACTAACAAGCCACGACCAAACTAGACCTGCACTTATCCAGTGCTGGAATTCTATGCTAAAGACTGAGGTCCTTCTTCTTCTTGGTCAGAACTAGTGGCAGTAAAAGTGGTGCCTTGTTGCTCCACTAAACCACTCCCTGGGTGGGTCATCTCCCTATCATGTGTTGTGAGCACATGCAAACCCCTGCTGCTTTTAAGGAAAAGAATGTCTGGGACTCTGGAGTCTACCAGGGCTCTTGTTTTGTGCCTCAGGATGGGAGGAAGTTTCAGATGATAAAACAGCATTGTACAGAAGCAGACAAATTTCACATAGGGGTGTATAAATAAGAAAAGTCCTGTAGAGGGATTTATGCATGTGCCCCGAAGTCCAGTTTACAGTCACCTTCCTGATTATGTCTTGACGATCACGTGTGAGTGTTATGTGTATATGTATGTATGCTGGTGGTGTTTAGCCCTACCCTTTTGCCCAGGCCCTTTCCTACATCTTAGTAAGGCCTAACAACAAGAGTTTATATGCAATCTAGTCTTTCCAAACTTCTCTCAGTACCCTAATTAGGGACTGAGTGAGATTGGAGCCCTTTGAAAACAAGATGGCAGAACTGAAGAAGTGAAAAGCAGTCTCTCTCTTCAGCTTAGGGATGTCCCTCACCCCTTTCACAGCACCAAAGTTTCTTTGCAAAAATAGTATCTGAGATACAAAAGGAAAGGCAGATGTGCTTGTGAATGCATCTTGCCAGGGCCTGGTCCAGGATCAAGGGTTTTACAAGAATAGAGAGTTGGGAGCAGCTGTTTCCAAGTTCTCTGGCTGTAGACAACAAAAGCTGGTCCCCCACAAGGTCAACGTCTGCTGAGTAAATCTTCATAAGAGCTTTCGGTGGAGGATCTCCCAGACCATGCGCTTCCGGAAGTATGGCATGTGTTGCTGAAGGGACACAGAAACCCTTGATGTTCATTTCTTTATCCAGAACCATGACTCCCTTCCCCATTCTCCTTGAGGTTTACAACTAAAATAGCTTCAGCTGCATTTCTGGGCTTTCAAAATTGCTCATTCTTTATTACATATGACCTTTTTCTTTCTATTGCTTTTTTTTCATGTTGTAGCCTTTTAAATTTTATTAGACATAGCCAAGCTTCCCCAGGCTATCCCCAAATGTCTCCATGTATTTTGGAAATGGTGTCCATCAAGTCGTCTATGTTGAACTTTTAAGAGGATCTAATATCTGAGGCCTGAAACTCAAAAACAACTTTTTAGGGGAAGGGTTAAGAGTCAACTAGAACTATGGTGGAAAATATGGAAATGACATTAATTTAACAGAAGCAATGTTAAATGGAAGACACAGAATAATCATAATTTCTTGTCTCCACACTACTTTTGGTCTCTGAATGACTGCAAGGACATTCAGAAATAACCAATCACAAACTAAGAGAAGACTCATCAATTGCCTCAAGTGAGGGGTGGGGAGGAAGTAGTACAGCAAATTACACTAGCAAGTCAAGGTATAGCTTCTGGCAAAACCTGACTGCAAATCAAATAAGCAGAAACTGAAGAAAAGCTGCTCTGATTAACAGAATTTCTCTTACAGGATTTCAGCTTAAGTGGGGAAGGTGGGCAGAGGAAACTGTTATTGACCAGAATCTACTACAATATGTGAAGAACCCCAGATGTGGAATATCACTATCCTTTCCCTTGTGTTACAGCACAGGAAGTAACCAGCAGGGTTCTGAGGCACAGCCCTCTATGCAGAGAACCTCAACAAGGCAGCTGAGAGCCAGCATGAAGAGCTCCTACCAGAAGACTCACCTGTGTGAAGTTGATTGGTCTGTCTTTGGTAATGCAGTCAGCATATTTGCAGGCAAACATTCCACAGTCACTTCCATTCATCTGCTGTGGAATTTCCTGAAGGACCCAGGGCAACAAAAATGTGACATCTTTATAAGATGCTGCTTCTTTTTTTTTTTATTTTACAAAAGTTTATTTTTACATCATTTTGTACATTTTTTTTCCCATCTCAATTGCAATCCCCGTGGGTTTCCCATCACCAAGTCACCCGTGTGCCATCACCATAATCCCGTGCATTTCCCTCCCCACCCCCCCGTTTTAGATCCCATTCCCCACTCCACCCCCACAAAATGTCTCTGGTATATGGTTGTTCATTATTTTTGTTATTTTCTCGCCTGGTCCATTATACTCCTGCTATGAGTGAAACCATCCGGTATTTTTCTTTCTCTTTCTGGCTTATCTCACTAAGCATGATCTTTTCCAGCTCCATCCAAGTTGCTGCAAAAGACATGTGTTTCTCTTTTTTGGTTGCTGAGTAATATTTCATTGTATATATGTACCACATCTTTTTTATCCAGTCATCTACTTTTGGGCATTTGGGCTGCTTCCATGTTTTTCCAATTGTAAATAAAGCAGCAATAAACATGGGGGTACAGGTATCTTTTTCAATCAGTGTTTTTGTGTCTTTTGGGTATACACATAGGAGTGGGATTGCTGGGTCATAGGGAAGCTCCATGTTTAGCAGTTTGAGGAACCTCCAAACTGTTTTCCATAGTGGTTGTACTAGTTTGCATTCCCACCAGCAGTAGCTGCTTCTATTCTTAAAAGAATATAAGTTTTATAGGTTTCCCTGAAGAGATCACCCTGGTCCCTCACTCAGAACAATACTCAAAGGAAAAAAAATGTAGCATCTTAGTGAGGCCTGTGTACTACTCCACATTAATCACAAAGGTGCCTATCTTAGACTTCCATGGCACCGAAAGATATAAAAACTGGCACCTCCCACAATCAGCAAAAACAGTTACCCTATAGAAATTCATTTAACAAAATAGCTAGGTTCTCAGGAAACCATATCTCTATAATTGACACATTAACAGCTTTCCCACAAAACTCTTACTCCACTCACCCCAAGGAAACAACCAACCAAGCAAAGGCAGGTGAGACACTAAGAAGGTCAGGAAATCAAGTAATAAAATCCTCCCTTTCCCAAACACCCTAATCTCCAGATTTCCATCTCATCAAAATGAATATACCTGGCTTTTCTTGCTGAAGAGCTGCCAGCCATTGGTATCAAACTCTTTCCTCCTCTTGTCAATGCTTTCCTGCTTTAGGTATTGCCTGAAGGTGTTAGGAGAGAATGAGAGTTGCTTTGTGGAACAGTGAAGATAGCTGCCACCTGAACAATGGGCTGACCATCCTCATAAAGTGTTTTCAGATGCATTTTTGAGGTAAACTGTGTTGAATATCAGGCAGGGACTCCTTGCAGAGCTTCCCACATTTCATACCCACCTTTGTTGATCCAAGAGAAATATGACCTCTGACACCCAAGCTCCTTTGCCTCCTGTTTCTCCTGAGAAACAAGTTTTGATTCTTTCCCTTGGCTTATATATAGCTCTTTGGAACTCAATCTAATGGAAGAGTATTTCTTTAGCACTATTGAGGTACTCATTTATTATTTTTACTCTTGATCCTATTGTGCAAAAATTAATCCAAACCAACAATTTGTTGAGTGCATGCATACCTCATAAAGAGCACTCCTCTTAAGTGCAAACTGTTCACCATTCTGGAACCGACCTCCTCCTTGCCACCAGAGTGGTACAGCGAACAGATATTTTAGAAAGACAATCAAAAAGGGTATAAAGAGATCTGCATTTTGGTTCCCCATTAAACTACTAACTAGAAGAATGTAGACAAGTCAAAGTCACCTCTGTTGGTTTTGGTTTATCTGAAAAATTAGGAAGTTGAACTAGATGCTGTCTCCGTATGTGACTATCTACTCTGTATTTTAGTGCACTGAGACAGCAACTGTCCCCACATTTTGGTATTAACTATAAGACGTAAAATATTCCATTCTTAATATAAAGGTTCTTTAAAATTATCACTCTATTGAAGGTATAAAAGCATTTAATAGCTTGGAATCCATAATATATACCCAACACCAGACTCCTCAGTCCTCAATCATAAGTGTAAGATCCACTTACAAGAGGATCCTGCAGGCTTCATTGTTTATCCCACCCATAGAGTCGTAATAGGTAATATTCTTCTTTCTGAAGTCCACAACCTGGAAATAAAAACAAAAACTATGTGTTTTTGAGAGAGAATGTGAAGAAAACTGGTTTCTCAGCTTTCCTTTTTCTGGCACTTAGAACCTTCTTTCTGCCGTATTTCCTGTGAAATCATGATAAATCTGATTGATACTCTGCCTTACACTAAGCTTAGTCTGCAGAAGAAAGAAAAAGAGGATTGTTTCCATAAATGATGCCAAGGGCTGATTAATTGGCCTCAAAAGTTGCCCTTAATCTTTTTACAGTGTTCAGGATCTCTACCTGCAACACAGTAAAAGTTAGCAGTGAAGACACCATGTGTTTTTCAGAGATTGTAAATTGAGTGAAATCTTCATGTAATGTCAGAAAGAAGGTAAAAGATTCTAGATTTTGTTTCATTACTGGATAATTTTCTTTTGGCTTTATGCTTTTAAAATATAATTGAAAATAGAATATGAAATAACTTTCATTCTTTTTTTATTACATTAAGTTAATGTATCCATGTTCTAAGAAGTCAAATAAAATATTAAATTACCAAGTATGCAAGGCAAGTCATGATTAGGCAGAAAATAACAGTTAAAGAATTTGAGCTGGCAGCATCATTAACAAGTCACTTTTTCTGCCCATGATGGCTTTGCCACTTAAACTTATCTCCCTCTTCAACATTTCCAGAAAAGGAAATTCTATAGCTTTCTTCAAAGTCTAAGTATCTCCCACTTTTGAGAGGGAATTCTTTGATTAACCAATTTTTAGCCAACTAAACAATTCTCTCTCATGCATCCAGTAAAGATGAGAATAACTATTCTCTGTGTATTCTATACTGGATTTATTTTAAATCTTACTACATAGAAAAGAGGTACTCACAGCAAGACACCAGTGCACTCCCAGGTGAATGGGCACCAAAAGAATGTCAACAGAAAATACATCTACTTTCTTTGTCCAGCGTTTTACTGCCTGATATCCAGCTGTTTTTAGCTTAGTGAAAAAAAATGTATTAAATGCATGCACACTTGGCAACCCCTTCTCTTTACTTCGCTCCATCAGCATATTCATGTAGAAATTGATGATCTGTGGGAGGAAATTACAGATACTTAGGACTTTCAAAACAGTGGATGCATAAAGGAAAAGTAGTTGCTGCACTGCATAGCATGTTACCATTTCCTAGTCAATTCAATGAAGACTTCTACCAGTGTCCAGCAGACACATGACGTCCTTATATCAAATTCTGACTACAAAAGGAGGTGGTGAGGTGGTTATAAACAGTAAAAAAAAAAGTCAAGGGTTTAGGATACGTATGGGCAGATGCTGCAGAAAACTAAGGATTAGATCAAAAGAGTGGAGTACAAGAAAGAAAGGGTTGCTAAATTAAGGTGAGGCTGTTTTTTAGATTTATTTTTATTTATTTATGCATATAAGAACTGGGTGTAGGCTAGAGGTTCAGGGAGTGGAGAGGATTCACCAGAGACAGAGTGGGGATCAGAACAGGCAGGTCTACTGAAATACACTACTGAGGGGAGCAGTGGGTAGAACATGAAAGGTTTGCTGGACCATGTAGGTTAGATCCTGGTAGGGGATTAAACTCATACCACAGTGGCTGCTGGTAGCCTGACTGAGCTGACTTTTAACCCCTATACCACCAAGGAGGTCCTTAAAATTAGACTTAAGAGAAAAGGAAAGAAAGAGCAAGCAGTTTAATAAGGCACATTAACAATTACTTTAATTGAATAGGACTGTGTGAGCAACTTAAACAAATCCTGAACTCATTGAGAGTTTAGGGTTAATAGACCTAAGATCAGGAGTTCAATCCATAAATGTGGGCCATGTGGTTTTGCACATAGAAAATTTTACTACATGGCTAAAGATTACGTTTTCAAGTCATGATTAGGCAGAAAATAACAGTTAAAGAATAATAAGTCTTGTAAAAGCAAATTATTTTGGCCTCATGTAGAACTGAGCGACAGAATAAACTAACAATTGTACAAGAAAAAATGCCCCTAAAAGCTCTGCAATTCACCCTTAGAGAGGAGGACATGGGTGTATTATAATAAAAATCTACATACATGAGAGCTGAATGTAAATCACAAACACAAAAGTTTTCTCATTTTTGTTGATTCTACTATGTATTCAATATCGCGTAGGAGTGAAAAAAATTAAAATACCTTACATAGGAGAGATGTGATTCATTCTGTTAATGAAAGACTGTGCTCAAATAGTGACTACATTGTCTATGGAACTTTTAGGTCCAGGATTCCTTGGTATAAAAGCTAGAAAGTTACTGTGCTGAAAGTTACTGCATACTTATTTTATGTGGCCAGCTGAGGCTGGATCAGTGTCTGTTAACTGCAAGGAATGAATGGGCTAACTGATCCACAGTTTGGAAATATGACTAAAAAAACAGGCACATTTTTCAGAATGCTTTTTGGGAAATGGGAAAAACGCCCCCATCCTTTGACAAATATTTACACACTAGGATGCCAGAGCAGTGAGGGACTACCTAACAGTAGGCAACTACATTATGGGGAGGCATCAGGGAACATGGCCAGGAACACAGTGGGGCATGGTCTAGACTAGAGAAAGGGCCTACAGATGAAGATGCCTAGGCAGCTGCAAGGAAACCACACTTGCCATGAAGCAGAGCTCTGGAGCAGGAAGGTGAAGACTGAAGAAATACACTGTTCTACTTGTATCTCTAAAGAATGAGCAGGCCAGAGGACTAGGTTGTGGCCATTTCTTTGCCTAGTATGATGCCCAGTTGATAACTGGAGTTCAGTTTAAATAACTATTACGTAAATAAGTACAACTCAAGCTACAACTAGGATAACAGATTTTTCCAATCTAGAATTTCAAACTCAGCCATGATGGTGCTAAAGGATGCTTTTAGACTTAGAAAGTCAATCAGAAATGCAGGAAGATCTCCTCAGCAAGCACAGACTGCTAGATTATAAAGTACATCTAGTGAGAGAAAAACCAGCAGGAAAGGATTGACTCCTCTAGTATTCTACCCAGGCCACAATATTAGCCATATAATGAACTAAGCCCTACAATGCAAAGAGTAGAGTTAACAGACAGAGTACCTGCCAGTCACCGTTAGCCAGTCCTTCCATGGGGTAAATTAAACAGGCAATAAGGAATCAAGGGGGAAGTGGAAAGAATCAGGCAAAGAGATAAGGTCAAGCATACTAAAGTTATGGAGAAATATATCCCCCTCTGCCTATCAGAGGAACATCACTTTTGGGATCAGAATCCCTGAAGTAAAAAGAAAAAGGATAACATATGTCAATGTTAGGCTATACATAACTACCCCTATTTTTCAAGAAAGAGTTCTGGAGTCAATGAATTGTTTAGCTGTACTTAACACAGCCTGAGTTTTTTTTTTTTTTTTTAATCTTATTTTTACTTTTTATGAGAGTGGACTATAAAACTAAAGGACCAGAAACAAAAACAAGTGCCTGTTTGCTTTGAGTTCTGCCTCCAACCCAGGATTCTCCACTGAGAGGTAAATGATCTCCAATGTTAGTTGATTAATTAGTTCTAAGGTGAGATCTGGGTTCTTTTTCATTCCCTCTGTATCCCAGTAGGAGGGAGCTTGGTGGCTTCAATATTCCCTCTGATTAGCTGAGCATATGTAATCTGACATCTGAGGCAAAATTTATTTACTGTTTATACTGTTGTTCATTTTTGTACAGTAGTTGGTTTCTCTGGTGTAGACTACCCATAGTTTTCCTGACACTATATCACACATGAACCATGACCAATATATTCCCTTTTGTTATTCCCTTCCCTGTTTTGATTCCTGGGCAGAATTTAGATACAAATTTCCTCCTCAGTTTTTTAGCTATTCTGTACAAAAGAGATAAGTGTCATGGTGCAGCCAGGCTACAACTTTCTCTCTCTCTCTCTCTCTCTCTCTCTCTCTCTCTCTCTCTCTCTCTCTCTCTCTCTCTCTCTCTCTCTCTCTCTCTCTCTCTCTCTCTCTCTCTCTCTCTCTCTCTCTCACACACACACACACACACACATACACACATACACACACACACACACACCAGCTCTGTCATCTAATAGAGGAGAGATACACAAGGGATCACAATGCTTAAGATGAAAGAGAGATGATGGAGAGAGCATTTGCTTATATTTTATGAAAAAAGGGTTGTTCCCGCCGCCCAATGGTGAGAGCCTTTTGGTACACAAAACGAAACTCCTCATCTTTAGAAGATCTTGAATCCCTTTGAAATAGGGGGGCAAAATGACTAGATTGGCCCTATGTTTACTGTTTATTTTGCCACTATCTCAACATCTGAGGATGACTACAAGTGTTGGTTCACCTGTTACTCTTTCTGGGACCCTTCACTTGTCTGCTTGCTGTGGCTCCTGGTGCCTGAGGAGCTGCCCTTTCTGATGCCTTCACAGACTTGGCAATGAGCGCCTGCTTGTCTATGCAATCCTGTTTGGGGGTAGGGTGGTTGTTTGTGGTATCTTGTTCCTTTGTGATTTTATTTGAAGATCTGCCAGACTGAAGCCGAAGAAATGTTTCAAACTAAGAAAAGCCTACAATGTTTTCAAACTAAGGACTCAACCCCTTTCCTGCATATTACCACAATGATATAAATGACCACTGCTATTTGTATTTCCTTCTTGCCTAGTAAACCAAACCAATGCTTTCTCATATATTTAGAATAAATAAAAATACTTCGCTACCAGTCTTTTATAGTTTTAATTCTTTCTAATTTTATACTCTGAACCCTAACTCTCTTAAGAAAAAATGTTTTAAAGGTCTGAGATATGACAATGCTCCTGGGTCAGAGATGAAACAACTCTTAGGGGAAGTAAGTAATTTTTTCTATTTTACCTCTACTTTCACCTTACCTCCCATTCTAACTGTTTTTACATTAAATCTATTCTTGTCAATCACAAAGCCCAAAAGATTAGTCAAACAATAGCACTTGATTATTATGAGTCAGAAGGTCATTCACCCATAAGGTCTACCCTAATATCATAGAAACAAAGATGATTTTAGGTAAGCTCTGTGTATTGCAGCCCTCACTATGAACATGTACTCAGAATCTTTTTCATCTGCAAACTCAGTAACAATTTTACTGCTAAAATTTTAGAAAAAGACCAACAGCTAGCACCCAATTTTATCAAGTTATGACAACTATAACTATTTCCCAGGTGAATAATAAATCCCTAGTTTATCCCTAGTTCTGTTAAGAAACATTTCAAAGAGGAACCCTTTAATGCTGTGGAGTCTATCAATGAGTCATTCTGATTACCAAAGCATGGCATATGGGAGATCTCTCATATTCACTTACCATGTTTCTGCATGTTATAATATGATGATGAATCTAATATATCTTATTTTATATTGTTTCCTCCCTTCTTATAAGTTTCCATTCTCTAGGTTAAACCTATTCCAGGGGCCTTCCTGATGACACAACTAGTTAAGGTGCAGCACTGTGAAGTTAGCCACAGCCACTGCAGCACAAGTTTGATCCCCGGCCCCTACATGACACGACAAACTTCTCCTGCCTCGCCTCCTGCTCCCCTCAGGAGTGTATTTCAGTAGATCTGTCTTTCTGCTCCCCATTCTTTATCTGGTAAATCCTCTCATCCCCTTGCACCTATGGCCTGCACTCCAAGTCTTGTATGCATAAAATAAATAAATCTTTAAAAATAAAATAAACCTAATCCCTATATGGGTTTTTATAGTTGGACTTATGTTTTACAGGCTGTTTCTTCTCTTTACTGTATTATCACTTAAATTTAACTTCTCATTAGAACAATCAGAAAACTATCATCACTACCAATTTCACATTTCCAATGAGTATGTGTGTTCTATAAGGTAGTGACAGAGATACAGTCTTATTTTTTATTCCTTATAAATAAAGTCTTATTTCTATGAATCAAATAAAAATATTTTCTCTAAATAAAGGCTAGTATGGCTCTCACTAGTGGTGCAATGGGTTAAAACACAGCGCTATGAAGCTATTGCAGTCACCGCAGCATGGATTCGATCTCTGGCTAGGGAGGTGATCCACATGAGGTGGCAGACCTCTCCTGGCCAACCCACT